TCAAAGCACTTCCCAGAATTGGGCTGCTGTTAAGGACCTTAATCTAAGTTTAAGTTACCATTGTAACGAAAACTGTTTTTTTACTATGCGATCCATTTTCTGGTAACCAGGACTATCTTAGTACCCACTATGGCCCCGAATGGTAGCGACTCAGGCCTAGATAGAGGGTAGTGAGAGGGTCTAGGAACATAAGTCTAAATCCTAAATCCTAACAGCAACCGAGGATAGGCCATGACGGCTCCGAGGAGGCGGCGAGCTTCCTCGAAGCTCTGGAGGTCGCCTCATGTGGGGGCCAGCTTAGTCATTCGGTTTAGGGTTTAGGGTTTATGGTGTAGGCCCTTTAGGGCGTATAATTCCATATGGCTTAGAGCTCAGGGATCACAGGTTAGGGTGCAGGGGTAGGGTTGGGGGTTTGCAGCTTTAGGGTCTAGGGTCTATAGGCTTCATCAGAATAAGGCCCTTGAAAATCTGGCCAAGTTGCAACCGCCTCACTTGCCTGACCTACAACGGTGGTTCAGAAAGGAGAGAGAGTCCACATGAGCTAGATTTCAGGTTCTGGAATTTGACCCCAAATGGCACGATATGCGAGATTGTAGGGTTCGCTAGATGACGGGAGTACGGATTTAGGGTATCTTTTGCTCTAACTATATGAGCATATACTGGGATACCATTGGTATGAATTTAGGCTCCTACTCTATGTAAGCCCGTGAAGATGGGACTAGAAATTTAGGGCGCGGGGTTGAAGGTTTAAGGCTTGAAGCTAAAACCCTCTAGCTTGTGGTTCTTGGGTATAGTTGACAGAGCAAATGTTCTCCCCGGAAATTCCGCACCACCTAGAAGCGCACAACCATGGGAATTGCTATGATTTTGGGTGCTTGGAGTGGTTCAGGTTTTCTTCCAAGACACCAGAACAAGTTTCCACAGGGACGCCTAAGCCTCAGGCCCTGAAACCATGCGCCAACGCCACTTCTTGGCCCACTGGTTCATTCTGTAAGTCCGAAGTCCTTACCAGGTGACAATCGCTTCGACAGTTGGTGCACATCCAGATTATGTATAGATGGAGCTATACTGTTTCACTGTCCTACTCATCCTTGCAAGCACTGGCAAGATTCCAGACTTATGGCTCCAGAGCTCGCATTAATCTAGCTTTGATTCTTTGCCGTTGGACAGTTGGACCGGACATTTGCCTTGCGCCTCTGCTACAAGTGATGCGGACCCCGAAAATGTATCGACCTATACGATGGCAGGGTTAGGGGGGTTAGGGCTTAGGTTTCAGGAATTATCTACCGGCTAAAGTCTACATGTACATGGGGTTTAGCCAGTGCGTGGGTGTAGACTCGTCGGTGTATCTCCCTCAGGCGCGAGGCCTACGTGGAACAGCGCAGCTCTTGACACTCGTCTGCCCATCTGTAGGGCAGCTTCACGCGTGAAGAGTAGGTCAACCTGAGTTCCGAGGAATGCCGAATTATGTGGCGCTTTTGTTAAAGCATTGGCTTGACTGAAGATCCCAGCTACGACCCGTCCTACTAATCCTCAATAGTCTCCAATCATCTTAGGTTTTTAGGGTTAACCTGTCTGAACAACTGCAGTTGTCTTCATACAAGACGTAAGCTCTGTGAGCCAATCAAGAGGTGAACGAAGCACACTCATGCATGTGAAGTGGCTGGCCTGTGAGATACTTGCTCTGAATGCAAGTGAAGACCGTACCGTAGAAGCCTCGGTAATCCTAATATTATGGTCCTGGATTCCTTTTGCAGTTGCGGTATAGGGCGCCTCAAATAGACTTTAGAATTATATCTAGACCGCTTTTTTTCCTGCACTACGACGACCTATGAGCTATATCCGTCTTCATGATTCGTATCGGCTGTCGCTGATCTTTTTCTCTTTTTTCCGCTCATCCGGAAGTGGGGGATACATGGGCTAGTGTGGAGGTTGAAGGTCTTGTGCGCAGCGACCACTTGAAGGAGAGGCTTAGATGGGCCCTGTAGGTGGTGAGTCGATAAACATCGTTTCTGCTTCAGCTCCGCGAGCGGCGACACCAAAATCTTGTTAATCTTGTTGGTTGTTCGTAGAGAAGGAAAGGAAACAATGTCAAAGAACATGGAAGCTACAACATTGTCGGGGATATACAGGGGCTCCTACAGGGATCCACTCCTCCGTACCTACCACCAACCATCAAGTAATAAGCCAGCCACTTTGAACTTCGAGGACTCCTCCGGGAGAGCCCAGCGAGCGACCGCCCGGTGACGAGGCCTTTGGTTTTTACGGTTGTCAGCTTATTAGGGTAAAGCGTTTAGATATAGGGGAAGAGGGTATTGTAGTTGAGGCTTGCGCTATAATAGCTTCAGGTTTGGGGCTTAGGGCTTAGAGTGAGATTCTAGAATAGGCTCTGCGAAGACTTCATTGATCAACACTTTCACGATGCTGTAAAGATTTGTCAGTGAACCCCACATGTCATCGTCCATCGTATCCATCCCAAATTACTGTTATCATTATTTTTAGCTGTTGCCATTTGATAAGAGTACTATAACCAGTGCTACTACTTACTACTTTGCATATGTATTGTGCTGGAATCTATGCTGTGAGGCTCTGGGACGCGTCTGGGCGCTGCTCCCAGGGCGAAAGGTGCGATTTCTCGAGGTGCGGGCGCCTGCATTGTCAAAGCTTCCGGTGCTGTCCTTGCAGCTAGACCGTGCCCGTGTTGAACAAAAATCAAGGGTCTGTTTTAGTTTGCGGTTTCATATCAACCCTGTGACAAGAGCCGTCCTGTTTTTTTTTTCCCCCCGGCTTTCTAAGGGGTAGTCCCGCGCTGTCCAGGATGCCAAGTGGGCTCTAGAGCCGCCGTCTATCGGCACCCTCTACGAGTGGGAGCCACTGCTGAGCCAAATGGGTGTAAGCTCTCAGGGTTTCTGAAGGGTTTCCTAGGCTGCTTATAGGCGCAACTCAGACTCACTTAGGGGGTATAGGGTATCTTTGGGTGTAAGGTCGGGTGCTTTCAAGGCAAGGCGGGTTGGTTGGGGCGCAAAGCTTCAGCGGTTCTGTGTCGGGGATGATTTTGTTCTTTTGTTCGAACAAGGACTTGCCACTCCATAGGCACGAGGGACCATATGAGGCACCAAGTGCTTCATGCTACGGGGTGATGGTCAGCTACATCTCAACCAGTTCTAGGTTTGAATTCTGTTGTGGTCAGAAGCAAGTTGTGCATGGTTTAGTACCTACAAGGTAGTCGGGTTAAGTCGTCTCACCTCGTGTGAAGTCATCTCGTGCGGGCGTGCACATGGGGATTCCGCA